AATGTGATAACTGTTTCCTGACTCACATCTTCTTCCTGAATTTAACATGTCACGAAGGACAAACATATAGATTCCATTCCTATTAGTGATAGTTTTAAACAAAACTATATATTATAGCACTCCTCATTCCCATACATTCTCAGAAACCGATATTGAGTAACAAACCTTTAATCAATATTTACCTCCTTTGCTAATAAATTTTCTACAACATCGTAGAAAAATCAATGAATGACGTAGAAGCATATATAATAACACTAGTTATTCTTTTATACTACAGAAATTCGGCTTCAATTAGTCCGGTTTGAAAAATTCTACAATGTTAGTAAACAAACTTATTTTTTAAAACATTAATTACTGTCTTTTTTTCTGTTGTTTTAAAGTCCTTGATTAATTCAGTTTCAAATAGTCCAGGATATTGGAGTAACCTATTATCCGGACTATACAAGGTTTCTTAAAGTTTCTTTTCATTGTTACACAATAAAAATATGGTCTTTTCACCTCATTGATTCAAAATTATACAAGTTGGTGTACCAAATTGAAGTATAAGAGAAGAAATAATATTGAATTTCAATTTAGAGACTTTTCAATATTTTCTTCAATTCTAAATGTATTAATATATTTACAAGTACAAAGTATTTTTTCTAATTTGAAAAACTTTGCTAATAGTAAATGTTATGTGTAAATGAAATAAAAGATAAGTCGAATAAGACTACCTTGGGGAACTCCATTCAAATAAAAACAAACTAGTGGAAGCTCGAGTTTAATCCGTTCCAAAATTTCCGGAATTCCGTATAGTGAAACACGTTTTCCCAAAGTATAACTTGGTTTGCTTTTCATAAAAATGATGTAGCAGGCGCGCAATGCGGAATTTCTCTTCTCATCGTCACTCGTTATGCGAAACGTCGCTCGTTAAGCGAGTCATTTTTCTTACAATTCATTTTGCTCGTTATGCGAGGTGTTCGTTTAGCGAGGTTTCACTGTATATATATTTAATATTACAGTCACGTCTTCAAACTAGTCTGTTTTTCATATATCCTTAAATCGACTTTTCAGTTTAATTTTCAGATCATAAATATCCGGAGTTATTGTACAAAGACTGGATATTATTCATCCAGCTCATAATAAAATCTACGCACACTCATCATTTATTATTACACATAAATATTAACATCTTAAGGTCGATGACCAAATCGTTTTGCTTTAGTTAACTTATGTAAATAGTTTGCATCAATTTACAGAAAATACAATTTAATTTAAAAAATGAAACAAAAAAAAAATATTTATATATTGTCCCACGTTTCTATATGCGACCCATAATCCGATTCAAATTTTTCGAAAGTTTTGCTCTAACAATGGATAATTACGGATATTGTTTTAATAGGAATTAAGGCTTGTCTCCAAAGAAGGTTTCGTTGACGATTGTTCACTTTTAGTCTATCTTTCTCTTTTCCGCTTAAAACGAAAGGAAAATCAAAATTAATTAATCGCGTAATTAATAGCTATTCTATAAATAGTTTGGATCGTGTGAATAAGTTCGAACAGAAATAGCTTGTCGGAGGAAACGCAGTTGTATCGACGGGAAAACGGTTTTCTGTTTCCGCCTATTTTTAAAATGGCACAGGAGGGTTCGAGCCGTTGTACAAGCATCAACATCCTTCCGGCTGGAAATAATCACGCGTTGAAATGGTTATAGTATATACAAAGAACGCGAATTTACGTCATTTTCCTGCTGTAAACCACTGTTAATACTTTGCAAAACTAGATATTTCAAACTTATTAATACATTCAATTTAAGTTTAACTGATGACCTTCACTTTTCATCAATTAAAGATGAAAGTAGTCTACAGATAGATCTAGAGCAAAATATAAATATATTCGTTTACTACATTTAATACAAAGTGAATCAAAGCAATGATGAAGTAAGAATTATAAACAAGTTTTTTTTCTATAAAATGTGCTTGTTTTTAGATAATTTCTATTATGATTTTCCTAACAAAATTTTCATTTTATAATATAGAATTAAAAATTAATTCAGTTCAATAAAACGGTCATGGCTATAAACACTTTAAAAAAATGCACTTTCTAGAATCTAGATCACTATAAAAAATATTATGATTAAGATTGAAATCAATGACAATATTAATATTTCAACAATTTGAATGCAAATATAAATTGTCCATTTTCATTTGATAATTCAAGTTTATAAAATTAATAAAAGTTAATATAAAAATTGAAAACAATAATACTTTCTATTCAATACTACTTTTATCATCATCAGCTTTAAGAAAGTAGAAACTGTTGTAAAATGCATCTAAGATTTAAATTATACAAAATTAGCACACAAACATATTTTTTTTAAACATAAATTATTGTTTTTTACACACCATGTTTCTTTTTGTGCGGTTTTAAAGTCCTTGATTAGTTCAGTTTCAAACAGTCTCAAATTAAAGAAACTGAACAACGTAGAAACTGTTGTAAAATGCATCTAAAATTTAAATGTATTGAAAGAAGAAAGGGATAAAGTTTTTATTTAGTTCTATTTGACAAAGTCTATGCTCTTTTTCTTTATTTAGTCATCAATAGCGTTGAGTAATTGAAATCGCTTCTTGCAATTTAGTTACTTGGTATTTAGACCTATTGTGTAACAAATTAATTCGTGTTAAGAGTATTTATTGATATTGTAAACTCGGATAAAATAAGAAATGAATTGAAAATATTCCGAAAGTAAAATATTGCATTGTTTCACACCTTTTAGTGAAAGATATAATGAACTTTAAATTATTATGAAGATGGATTAAATATTACAATAATTGTTATTGTTTCAAAATGAGGAATTTGATATTATCCATAGGTGTGTATGTTGGAACGGTCGAAGAATTAAAAAGAAAAACAAGTAGTAAAACACAAATGGGTTAAGTGTTTGATTAATATGCAGAATGCAATAGGAGTTTCATTGTCAGAGGCGGGAAATAAATAAACGTAACAATATTTTAAAGGTCAAGTGAGTCGCTCGAAATCAAAGGACATCGAGTGGTAATTTAACCAGGTGACCTACATGACCTTTCTTAACCGCGCGCGGGTCTTCCACAATCGATGGAGTTTCAAGCAGTTGAGAGGAAAACTGGGCCAGAAAGGGCTCCCAGATGCGGCGGTGGCGGCGTCGATTGATCCAAGCTGAAGCCTAAAAATAACCGCGCACAGAAACACGCATCAACATAACGAAATCAATTCCTGGTAGTAGGGCGATTATGTAACAACCCCCATTGTGTGCTTTTCTAAATTGGAAACGATGCGGGAGACAATCGGTCTCCCCCCAACCAAGTGCACTAATTATATACAAGAATATGTGTTTATGTGTGTATATAGATATAAATAAAACTCCAATTATACACATTCCTCTGGATGGGAGTTTCTCACAGGAGATCTCTAACACTTCTCACAGCGGAGAGATCATGCGACGTTACGCAAATCTTTTAACACTATGCAAATCGATAACTCTAATAAGCTTTCACATGCTTGTATCTTCTACAAGAAGATGCAAAAGGCCTGTTAATGACATTGGGTCAAAATAAAATTTATCGTCGAGAAAACGTGCATCAATGAAACTCGTCGCATTAATAATCCTGAGGAGGAAAGGTTTCCTCGGAAACAACATCTGCTCAAATTAATCAATAATTAATGAGTTTATTGTTAATGAAAAATTTGATCAATCATCTTCGATCCATTACCGCTTAATTGATTCAATATTTGCTTATGTTACGTGATTTTTCTTTCAATTGACGTCAATAAATTTAAAGTCAATTAATCATATTTTGATTTTCATCAAGCGCAAGAACATTTCCTTACCGGTAATGATTTCAAAGTGACTTTCGCATTATTTTTTTGTTTTCAATTGCGGATGTTATGATTTATTACAAAATTCAATTAGGAACATTCCAAGTCGAGACGCACTGAAGTAATGTGTTTGTTTCCTCCTACCAAATATTTAAAAACTTAACCATTTATCACATCTTTGACTCCCAATTTTACACTGATTTCTATTTATAATTAGAATTTTGTTAAATTATTTATGATTTTTAGAAATTTAACACATTTCTAAAGTTAAACAATAGTTATCCTTTAACAAAACTACAAAATGGTTTTATATAATCATCTTTAATTTGAATAAATACATCTGTTATTATTTGAATCAAACTAATAAATTTATGTTTAGCTTTCGAATCAATAAATTAAACATTTTTAGTAAACATATTCAATTTTTTATTACATAATTATAAAGAATGAAAACATTTATTTCAGATAACTGTTTTTATATATAATTATTGTAGTATAAATTTTAATTCCTCAATTCTCGAATAGTTCATTTTTAATCTTGGAGTATATTTGAATTTGTTTGTTGCACGATGTAAGAAAATAGATATAAAAGAAGTATATTTCTTAAACGAAAGTAAATTCCAACATCCACTTGTATGTTTCCAAGTGGAAATTCACGTGTTTCGGTTTTAAAAATAAAACCATCAGCATTAATGAATGCTGAATGAAGCCGTTGCGCAACGCAATTGAGCATTCTCGATTGCAATAAATAGAATTCCGATTTAATAAATTGCGCTCGTGCACTGTTCCATATTTATTATTAATAAAGCACAAGTTTAATGAAATACCGAGCGTAATTGAAATTTTAATACAAGCGGAATTTGTTTCCTGCTTTGTAAAGTGTGTTTTTAATAATGTTAATTCGGAGTTGCACGCAATGCAAGTTTCATCGGCAGAAGTGACAAAATGAATCATGATATAATAAAAAAAAATGAATGAATCATGTGTAGTATTGGATTTACCGCGAATTTGTGATTCTTGAAGAAACCGTATTTGATTTGACTCACCTTTTTGTATTATTGCTCGACCTTGATCAACTGTTTATGCGTAAACAGCGACGTAAAGAGACCTTTGATTTATTTAAATTCGTTTGAAGCTAATTATAACTTTTTTGTATTTTCTTGCAGATTCAATACAAACAATGACTCTTATTTGACTTTGGATGAATTGAAGAGGATGATGGAAGTATTGGGAGCGCCTCAGACTCATATTGGACTAAAAGGGATGATCGCTGAGGTGGATGAGGACGATGACGGACGTTTGTCGTTCAGGGAATTCCTCTTGGTTTACAGAAAGGCCAGAGCTGGTGAATTGGACGCGGATTCTGGATTGGGACAGCTGGCTAAATTGACCGAAGTGGATGTGGACAAAGTTGGAGTGAACGGAGCTAAAGAGTTTTTCGAGGCCAAAGTAAGTTTAGATATTGTTTTGTTGACATGAAGCTGTTTCTTACACAGATGTTTGCTTACAGATTAACGAGCTATCAAAGAAGAGCAAATTCGAGAATGAAATACGTGAGGAACAGGAGCAGCGGAAGCAGATGGAGGAGGAGAAGGCGATAAGGAGACAGCAGTTCCTGGAAACGGCAGCCCTGTTCAAATAGCTCGAAGCTCTCGCACCGAAAAATCGTATCATTTAATTGTTCTAAGATGCACTCTTTCAAGAATATCTTTTTTTATATGATCTTCAAATAATTTGTAAATAACCATTTTTTATATTTTGTTAAATTCAGTATTTAGTATGTAAAGATTTAGGAACTAAGACGTTTTATATAATGATAAGAGAGAGATGAATTGTGATAGACGTAATATTATAATTTTATTTTTTATTTTAATGCAATTAAAGTATTTTTTAATTTAGAATATACCCTGAATTAATTGACCTTAAAACAAAGAAAAATATAAGCAATCACAGGATGTATTCATGGGAAAAACGAAACAAGAGGAAGTCAGATAAATGTTTAATATAAAATCATTATAAATAATATATACATGAAATGCTGTACAGTAAATTTGTCTCAAATTGGCAGAGTGTTCGAAACACCATATGAAAACATCCTTCCAAACATTGAAATCCCTGTAGACCCACCAGGTATATTTATCACAACCATCCACAACAATGTAATCACTTGTCCAACAGCAAAAAGCACTGTGAAAGGTGTACTCTGATAGGATAAAGCTGCATACAAAGTTGCCACTAAAGTCAGTATGTATGTCAGTGATAAGAGTAGTCTGTCCTTGGAAAACAACATTTTGAAGAAGTTCATGGGTCCCCATAGGAAGGAAAAGCTCATTAAGAAGAAACTGCTTCCAAGTGTAAAGAGCAGAGAAAACCTCCTCGCTTTAAATAATAATACTGGTATAAACATAGCTGATAATGTGAAGCATAAAATGCCCATTCCTAAACACACTCCAAAGCCTATAATCCTCTGCATCCTTGTCTAGAAATAATAATTAAATAATAACTTAATAAAATAGATTTAACTAAACTTACCAATGAAGGGCAGCATGATTTCTTTGTTTCTTGAAACCATCCTTCTTCCTCTGGCTCTTCCTTACGCAGGAGATTGTTGAGTATGGATGGTTTTTGGATATTTGGTAAAGTAATTTTAAAAGACTTCTTCTGATTACTTTGAAGTAACAGATATTGGTCGAGGTCCTTCTTTAAATCCATATTTCACAACTCAATTGTTATCACAAACATCTGACGTTTATACTAAAAAAAATAATACTACAAAATAGGTTATAGTTCATTTGCAAGTTTAGTTGCATATATCAGAAATTGAAATAATCTTAGGCATTTTTATATACAGAACATTAACAACTTTTTAACTGATTCATTGCAAGAATTATAATCTTTAAAGTAATTTTATATTGTTTAAAATTCAATATATATGATTTTTTTTATCTATAAGTACTTTAAATAAATGTAGAAGATTGTAACATGGATTAATTTAATTGTATATTTTTTTAATAGTCTTTGTTAGTTTATTAAAACTCATTATTTAAACATGTATACATAATTATTATTATAATTTCTTGTATATATGAACATAATTGTACATAGGGCACAAAGACCTATGGGCAATAGTCCTTTGTATTAGCAGACTTTTCGTTTCATTATTACTATTGTATTGAAATGTAAAATTACGTTTTTCTTTGTCTTGTTGCAATAAATATTAATATTATTTGTATATTTGTTCCATAAATATAGGTAATTCTTGTTTGTTGCTACCTAGTTTCAAACTAAATAAAAATATGATAGGTTCAACCAATCATCTATAAATATGTAATTTTTTTAATCCATGCTCCAAAATACTGCATAAATATTAAGTTTTCTTACTATTTGCTGTTAAAATTTCTACGTGTATAAGAGAAAAAGAAGTAATTAATGAAATACAGTGCAATCCGGGACATCTCATCGTCACTTGTTATGCGAAACGTGCCTCGTTAAGCGAATCATGTTTTTTACAATTCATTTTGGTCGTTAAGCGAAGTTCCACTGTATAGTAATTACACATAAATACAGCAATTAGCATTCCATATACGCAATTAGATCTTATCATTATCGAAAAATAATGAAACTACCATTCCCATAACGCGTTAGGTTTTTTCAAATTTTACTGAGAACATAAGAGTAAATGATGAAAAAAATTCATTATCAAATGTACGGTTATTAAATTGAAAAGTTTACTCATCGTAAATAAAGCTCCAAGGGAAGGGTTTCGCATGACACATTTTGCTAATTAGCTGATGGATTATATAACAAAAGTCCGATATCAATGTTGCACAAGTAGCAGTTTAAACATGGACGAGAAGGATTATCCTACGAAGGGTCATAAAAGGATGTTATCCCAAAAACACCGAAACCAGATGAACAATTACTTCACGGAGTATTGCAACGCTACTAGCATCCATGGCTTCAGATATCTAGGAGAGCAAAAGAGAAGCTACACAGAGAAGTATTACATCAATTATTTGTTTTTCACAGTGATTATTTTAAATTAATTATTAGAATATGGTGGTTGGTGACTTTGATAGCCTCGGTATGTCTCTGCACGTATTTGATCATGAAAACTTACAACAAATGGGAAAGATCTCCAGTTATTGTTAGTTTCGCTACAAAGCAAACGCCCATTTGGCAAATCCCTTTTCCTGCAGTCACCATTTGCCCCGAAACTAAATGCCTACAATCAGAGTTCAACTTCACTAAACTTTACTTGAAAACTTTAAACGGCACTCTAAATGACGACGAGTAAGTAAAATTTATTATTTTTAGTTAAAATACAGAGCTTATTTGTAGGCTTGCAACTTTGGAGTATTTGTCGTTGATTTGCAATCCACGGATGGCCATTTCACTATTGAAGATGAAAACGATCAACGAAACTATCCTTCATTTCTTTGATGATGTAAATAACTAATAATAAATAAGCGTTAAATAATATTATTTGTTTAGATTTCACCAAATTATGAAGATGTATTTCTGATTTGCTTTTGGATCGGTGAGCCGTTCTATTGCAAATCGATTTTCACTCCGATTTTAACGGACGAAGGCGTTTGCTTCACTTTTAATATGCTTGATAGGAAAGAGCTTTTTAATGACGATATGTAAGTTGTCTTTTACTATAGTTTGTCTGTAGATAAAACCAAGATTTTAGGTTGATTTTTAAGGATTATTTACAACACAATCAGTCATCCGTAGGTTGGAACTTGGAGTACGGTTATGGGAAGAACGTGAAAAAGAATACGTATCCTAGAAGGGCTCTGTTTTCGGGAGCAACAAAGGGATTGCAAGTTATAATGTTGGCGAACGACAAGGATTTGGATTACATTTGCGGGGATTCCTTGCAAGGCTATAAGGTTAAACTTTAGTGAAAATGCTTAAGAACATATATATAATTCTTAATTTAGATTTTACTTCATCATCCTGCCGAAGTACCGAGAGTAAGTCAACAGTATTTCCGCGTTCCACTAAACCAGGCGGTTGTGGCAGGAATCAAACCAGAAGTGATGACCACTTCCTCCGAACTGCAGAGCTACCCACCAGAAAAGAGGCAATGCTATTTTCCAAATGAAAGGAACCTTCGTTTCTTCAAGATCTATACCCAGCAAAACTGCGAGGTCGAGTGTCTTGCAAACTTCACACTTCGTTTATGCAAATGCGTCGATTTCCATATGCCACGTAAACACTTGATGAAAAATAAACTAAAACCGCTTCGCTGCAGTAGTTATACTTACTTATATTTCAGATGCGAAATTTACTCCAATTTGCGGAGCAAGAAAACTTGGATGCATGAAGTATGCAGATAGTATGTTACTATCAAATGAAATCGAAACAAAACTGAGGGAAATTGAAGATGAGGAGTTACAAAAAAATGAGAGTTTCATGGATTCTTTGGACAGTGTTTTCGATAAGTTTGTAAACAAGGATAAGAACGAGGAAAAACCAAGGAGTTCCAAATGTGACTGCTTGCCAAGTTGCACTTCATTGAGCTACAGTATTGAAACATCTCAAGCCGATTGGAACTGGGCTGAATACTTCCGTGGTCTTAACGAAACAATCCTAGCCGATAAGGATAAGTTTGTTTTTACAATACTTAGAAAAAATATAACTTTTGAATATTATTTTATTTCAGGGTTTATTTATCGAAATTGGTTATTTTCTTCAAGGATATGCAATTCATATCTTCGGAGAGAGACGAACTCTATGGACCAATTGATTTCCTTGCTAACTGCGGAGGTCTGCTTGGACTTTTCATGGGATTTTCATTCATTTCTCTAGTTGAAATTATTTACTTTTTATCTTTAAGACTTATAAATAACATACGTAAACGTCGAATTCACAAGGTCATCGAATTTGACGCGTGATTCAATCTTATTGATTCGTCGTCATAATTTAATATTGTAGCATTTTCATAGAAATATTCTTTTTATTAGAATCTCTTGTATACAGAAGATGTTTAATGCTTTCAAATTCAAATCTAATTTGCTAATAAGAATCCATTACAGTCTGAAGGTATTATTATTATTTGCACAATAATAGCAAATTATGTAGATGAACTTCTAATAATATAGCACATTAAAATATCAAAAGATTTGTTTTCTTGTGACCCTATGTCCCTTTTTCAATTGAGAATTTTTGCTTTTCGTTCTAAGTCTGGATAATCGATTCAGAATAATTTTTTTATGTCGATTTTATTATGATCAATTTTTGCAATCAATCAAAATATTGTCTAATTAATGTTTGGTGAAATAAATGTAAAAGGATATAATGTAAATATATTGTATATATTTAAAATATATAAAAAGTAATAAAAATAGAAATATGTACATAGAAGAAAATGTAATAAAAAGATACATGTCATTAATTAATTACGAATGCCGGCAATGGGCAAATCAGTACATTCGATTTTCTTCTGGATTAAAACTTCGTTCTGCCCTCCCCGACTAAGGGAGAAATATAACTATAATACACATATATTTAATATAAGAATGTAAATAAAAATATATATATAAATCATGTATACATATAACTATTTAGTTATAAACTATATAATATGGCTTTCGTATTTATAAAAAATTACTGTACAAAACTACAAAAATAAACGATTTGTGTGTATCCCAAATATTGGGAAATCATTAGGCACCAGACCGATTGCACTAGAATCAAACATAGCTCTCGCTCTCCGCGTCCGTCACGAGAAGAAGTCGCGCTGTAGCGTAAGTCGGAGGCGGCGGTGGCGGAGGTCTGTAGAGAGGTGGAAGATGAACAGGGGGCAAGTGACGTAATGGAGGAGGCCTCCTCGGAGGTATCGGTGGTCCACACAAACTCTCGTTACTCGTACAAAAGGCCTCATCTTCTTCGATCCAGGTGTTATCTAGTGACCTCATCCTGGCCGCCTGTCGCGCCCAATCTGATCGATGGAATGTGGCGTTGTGGTACAAAAGTCCAGGACTATCTCGATCGTCCTCGGATAAAGTCAAACCAGAATCACGGCTTAGTGACTTTTGGTCTTTGGACAATTCCATTGAGTCTAACGAAAGACCTAAGGCTACAAACAAGAACAAAAATCAATCATCGTTCATTTACAATCCACAAATCAAACTTACAATGTAAACTATCCGATTCTTCAGCTCCGCTGTCGCTCGACACTTCTCCAAGCAATGATACGACCTGAGGACCAAACAACGTCTGGCATTGACCTATCAGCATCTCCACCAAAGCAGGCAGCGACCTCATGGGAGCGTTCGGACTTGCCTCCCACAGAAGACTCGGACCGACGCAAACACCTAAGATCACAAATAAAAGAGTTTAATATATGCGAAGACGAACCAATAACAACTATAATTTACCTAAATTGGCTGCTGACATTAAATTGAAACGCGAACGTTTGGCAATATGATGTAACACGCTTATGACGTGCGCCAACAGCAAATGGTTTTCTCTCGGCAGCAGCGAAAGCAATCGCCTTAGATGTTCAATCCTTCCCGAACTGGCTACATTCAACCATTCTTTCGCGTTTCCACTCAACAGAGGCTCCGGTAAACTCCTCAAGAAATCCTTGAGCAATGCAGCAAGCAAAAGCGCCGGAGTCGACGAAATTTCTTCACAAATCGCAGATCCTAAAGCAAAATCAGAAAATTACAAAACTTATATTTTCATTTAAAAAAATAATAATTTACCTTGTAAATCTACTTTTTCTCTTAGCTCCCTTAAAGCTCTCGCCGAAGCGCAACGCCTGAAAATACCTTGCGTCTGAGGTCCTCTCTGAAACAAGGCGCGAAGTGTTGCACTAATTGCAGGAGGAAGCGTGTTGTTTGCGCATAAACGTTGCAAAGGAACACCGAATATCCTGCAGCTGTTCTTCCTGAACAATTTTAAAGGTGTCCTAAAATGAAAATCGAAAAATCTAATGTAATTTTAATTATAATCAACAATTATAATTAAAGCACATGTTATTACTTAATTATTAGAGAAATTAATATACGAATGGATAGGATTTGTGGATGTATATGTTATTGTTACTCACTTTCTCGCAGTGGGTTTGCAGTTGGGTTTGATTTCGAAAACTATATCGCAAGGTAATCTGTTGTTGTTGCAGTGGGTGAGATCGAAACCTTCTTCGGCGCACAGGGATTGCCTCAACCTAGCTAATTGGATTGAATGAGGACGTTCGCAGCCTATCAAAGGGCAAGGTGCTGAATCTCTATCCCTCGCGTACAAAGTGTAACCCCATTCCGATGTCCGTGTTTCATCTAGCGCCAATCTTGCTATATCTCCGGTATTTGTCTCAGGTCCTACTCCCAAAGTCTTTGACTGTGAAAAAAAAGCAGATTAGAACAACGAACTAATTTCATGGTGAAAATAACTTACGCATTCCGTGCCAGTTAAAGGATCCCTATACACAACTTTGATGTTAGTCACTGGAGGTTCCAATCGTAATTGCGCTGCTAACGCTTGCTGAAGTTCCCTCCACCAGGAATCTCGGGCTGCTTGCGTGCAGAATGTCACCAGAACGGTTCGGGCCGGATTCGGCCATCCAATTAAGAAACCCGTATCGGATTCTGGGCACGGGGATAACCACAGTTCGGAAACTCTTACGCTCTCCTAAAGAAAAGATTAAATGATTAACATCAACAAATTGTTATATTAAAATTGAGTATTTTGATAGAAATTTACCTTTAGTTTGAACGTTCCTCCGGATCTCGGTTTGGCTACGATGAGAAGATCGGAGAAGAGGAAGAGGTGTCGTGGCTTCGCCGTTAGCTGCAGATTCGGGAGAGACATGGCGCAAGGCGCCTCCACCAAGAAGATCCTATTGCACATCTTGGAGGGGCACAGGTCGTGTAAGTTATGTAAGTCGCCCAGCGACTTCTTCCGAAAAGACTTGCTCTTCTGAAAGAGACAAAGTATTAATTACAACGATAACGTTAAACGTTTCGCAATTGCGTTAAACCGTTTCAAATCCGAACGCAATAAATAAAACGAGCGTAACAAAGCCCACTACGCGTAATTAAAAATGATAGATCATAATAAATCATGCTGTTTCCCAATACGCATTAGTATATAAGAATATATGTAGTGGGCAAATAGTGGAATGGATTTCGAGCGCTAATAAATAAAAGCGGAGCTCTAATGTCCCGTGACATGGAGGAACGGGTCTCCGGCTCGAGAGATGCACTCACAAATTAATTTCGGTGCTCCATCGCCTCACCTTTCCAGACAGTTTGACATTTTTAATCTTCCTAGGAAACGCGTGCTGTTGTTGCACAACGAGCGCGCGCGTTCTCTGCAGCCAGCGAAGGCTCATTCAACTCGGTGTCTCCTCCTTTTCACTGCGAGAGCAGAAGAGATCTGCCTTCGCTCGTATGACATGACTATGTAAAATCGGAATTTATTTGTACCAGAAGAAGAGGAACAACAACAACAACAAAAAAAGAGGTAGAAGGTTCACGCATCAGGGGCCACGGCACGAAAAAGAAGAAAAAATTGAAGGCAGAGCCCAACCTTTGATTGATCGCGCTTCGCTCGATCCACCCCTTCGGGTTCAGCAACAACAACAAAAAAAAGGGCGGCAATTAATTTTTTGTCGCAGGTTGACACGTCCTGCAGTTTTTCCTCTACTCCTATGTTCCATGTAATTGGATTAATTGCCGATTGCAACTCGCTCCAGTCTCGTGCATGTGCCTGCCTTTGAAAGTCAGCCAATTATTAAACGCTATGAAGGATTTCAAGGATGTTCACTCTTCGCGACTGCTACACGTGAGGCAGCGACTATCCAGATCCATACGCACATGAGACTTTTTAATTAACTCAAATTGCTCCGGCGAATTCACGGCCGAACCACCGTTAAACCTAGGTTTTATTATTAATTTGCTTAATTATCCTGACGTTTATGTAATTGAGACGCTTTGGGACGAACAATGCGTCTAATTTTAATTTAGATCTGCTAATTAACTATTCCCACGATTTCGTAGAGCAGTTGCATAAAGCAGGAAATTGATGTTCTCACTGTTCATCTCGTAACAGCTTTTTTTTATGTAATTCATATTTTTTGGCTCAACTTCAAAACCTCAAAGAAATAAATTTTCTGTTCTAGAAACTTGTCTATCTATAAGTTAAGAACCTCATCATTATCAATGTTAAAGTGTACTTACCACATGGTAGCTGGAGTTGGGTTCGGTGGCGTGAAGACAAAGGAAGTCATGAGGGAATAGGTCCTGGATCCTGTCCAGGTCCTTCCGTCTACCATCCAGCGACGGCTGCGATCCGCTGATCAGCCGTCCGTAATCGGCGAGTCTCTCCGCCTGGAAAAGACACAAATAACACACGATGAATAAACAATCTTCCACCTTTGGAGCTTTAATAATTGGAATTTATCGAGACTAGAAAGTCCTTTGTTGTATAAATAATGGTCACAGTTACGGCCTCTCAACCATTAACCATGTATATGTGATGTCATTATCTTATAAGTGAATAGTTTTATGTATTACATATGACGTTAATATTTTCTCGAGGTGCATTCTGAAAGGAGACTTTCTTAAAAAAAAAAGTAAGACAAGGTTGCTTTACACGCGCGTATGCAGTCGTTCCTAATCTAAATTGATTTTTATCCTCTCATCTCGTTGAAAACAAGAAAAAGAAAAGTAAGAAACATGGTAAAAATGTTAAACGAAACCGAAAATTCCTTTTCGCTTTTTGCATCACACTTAATTGAATCCCGCGAAATATTTCAAGATGCAACGCTTTAATTGGTCACAACTTTCATTCGCATTTTTCTGCAATACTACGCAATTCGTATAATTCGACTTGTTCACTGAGCGTTCAACTTAAGAATATTGGATCTAATGCATCATTTTTGCTTTTTTGTTGTTGTTGATTTGAAAGCTTTAATAACTTTAGAAACGCTTTAGCTGCAATTTATTGTTACCGCCAAGAGAATTAATATTGTTTTCTCCAACTAATCGGTTTCTACTTTATGTTTATTGTCGCGTTTCCATGAATTTATCTATTTGCGAGTCAATTAATGTGAACGACGATAGTGAAATTTCCTCTCGAACTCTTAATTATTATACGAGTATTTATTTCGCGGCATAAACTAAGATGCATTAAAATTAAAGCTATCTCGACATTGTGAAGCGCACGGAGTGATTTATCATCGAAGGAAACGGCATGCGAAAGCGTTTAGTTAAAAATCTTTATGATTCCTAAACCAGAGAGCAAACGGAGAATACGAAGAGCCTTGCCTCGCTTTATCGTCGACATTATATATTAAGCAAATCAAGATTAGCTCCACTATATACGAACATAATGCTGTAATAACGTCAAATTGTGAGATCGTAAAGAAACTCCCAGACATTTCAGACATTCCCCATTAAATATGAATAAGACGAGCAGCGTTTGCGTAATATTAATTGCTAATAAATACAATTGGCGTTCGGTTAACGTACATTATGCGTACACAAATTGCCCTACGATAAGCGAATGTACATGTAAACGTACATAGAATTTACATATAAATGCAAGTATTTATGTATTTTGGTACTTGCTATCTTTTTCGCAATAACGTACACTTTATGCCGGAAATTTATTTTAAAACTTGAATGATTTGGTAGTTGCATTCAAATGGAAATTAGTCAATTATTTTTCAATAACTTTTAAGTTGTTTTGAAACTCATTGTGTCATTCTGACATTGACAATAATCAATATTCGATTGATATAATTATGTACGTATTATCGAACGTATTTTAAAAAGACGTACGTTAAGTGAACACTGACTGAATGCGAGTTTTGTTTCATTTGATCGCAATTGAAAGGCCCTAATAATGGGATAAGAAAGTTTCGATTTTTACGTTGTGTGTGTGTGGGTATTTGCATAAAGGCGCGAGCCGAAAGAATCAAGTATATTTCAATATCGTGACCGGTCGTGCACATGTAATTTTCAGTTCATGGGGGGTATTTCAGGGCCCGATCTGTCTCCTGTGTACATGCATGCTACGTATCCTAAGGGTATATGCAGCTTTCTCTCGTTGCCGAGCGAAAATAAACGCAACGAACGTTTCTTTCTGGCTTCGTTCCTTCGTTCTCTTTGCATCTGGAAAGAGCGTTTTCGGAAACTAAAAGTGAAATCACCGCATTATCTCGGGACACACCTTCTTTGTTGATTCGACGATCTTTTTCCATCCAAGTCTTCATCTGCCGAAGAAATGTTATTAACCTTTTTGCCGATGGAATACGCCAACGTGGGAACAATTATGCGGCCGTCCTTTAAATACAATTTTTATTTTCATTTTGGATGATACACGACCCATTCTATGTTCATTTGCTACATAACAAACGCACACGCAGCAACGCATCCACAGCGAAAGACTTTCACTATGAAAAGGGCCCACCATTCTTGCTTCGAATTGCGGCGTCTTTTTTTTGGGCGTAGTTGACTTGCGTCACGTAGACCCTCGGACTGTTTGTGTGCGAGCAGAGAGCCTCAGACGAGAGCAGGAATGAAAGAGAAGACGAAGAAAAAACAACACACATAGTAGTTTTGAAGCGACGCATAAATCTTCCACCCTTTTATCCGCCTGTCGTTCAACTCGAAAACACCATAAAATCCAACATTACCATAATCACTCCTAACCACGGATTTATTGCCAGCTATATATAATATTTTGAATGATGGCTTATCACTCAATTGCCCCATTCGATTCAATCACTTTCACCGTGCCAAAGCCATTAAAAATCAATATTATTTGATCTCCACCCAAACGTAATCTCAATTAGGAGTAAGTAGTAACTTTCTACGTTAAGTAAAAGCAGGTATTAACTTCCAAAGTTCCTTTCCTGGTGAGGTTTTCCAACCGGAAATACGTTTACCTGCATTAATAGAAATCACGTTAAAAAGCTAATACATCAATTTAGCTGCAGTTTCCTCTTCATACCTTCTTAGATAACTCAGATGGGATTCTGTATTGCAACTTTCGGTTTCTTCGCGGAACGCGAATTCATATGGCACTTTCTAATTACTCCGTTTGAACGTCGCTAATTGCTTTGGGAAAGTTGAACGATTCGTTTTAGTTTGTTGTCGATGAATAGGTATAGAAAACAATGTTTTCGTGGAATTCGGATTGCTTTTTCAGTTTCTATTTCACGTGTGGAGTATGTGTGTCCAAGCAAGCATAAAATCATCCGAAGAGTGGAATTGCCGCAATGCACTTCCTCCTCTCTCGGTATCATTAACAATCGTAATTATACGCAGCGGAATAATTTACGGTGAGAACCGACATGCGATCAGACGAATGAACAAGAAAAAAACCCTCGTGAAAGACTTATTATCAACACTAATAACAATGATACAGCATCAGGGGAAAAATATGAAATATGAACGAAACAAAAAATTATTGTGCTCGTTTATTCGCATTTCCAAAGGAAATCGCGAACAATAGGCCAATCAGGGACTCACGGTGTATTACTCTACTCATCACCTTGGATATGTTCACCTGGTTGTTTATTTGCAGTTCGTTTTGTGGATCACAACCGATCATTAAATCATCGCATGGAGGAACGTTGCTAAGGTCAAACGGATGTATCTCGTGTCATGTCATCGTTTGCTAACGATTTTCACCATTTATTTTCAGCCTTTATTAAATGCTCTGCAGAGTTACGTACAACATTTCGAAACACCATTCGACATTGACTTTACAATTTGTATACTGTTTTTGTCGCTACAAACAACAATAGCGCATTCCGATTGAACAAGCTAATAACGAGCACAAAAAAATACATGATTGATGATTCATTTATGTAACCAACCTAATATTTACCTTAATAATAATACCGGTTATAACAACAAAAACGCAATATTTTCAAAGAATCATTACATACGTTTTTTTTCTAAATAATTTCATGCATGTCACTATTATAAATCTAATTATTATATCATTATTTCCATGCTCAATTAAGCAATCTTCCAAAGGTGGTTTAAATCCATTGTTACTAAGATTTCCACTGTTATATAACAAGAGCAAAATATGCAATATTTAAAAACAATATGTTTTACCTACATGTTTTATTTTTATGTACGTCATATTCATTATTATATATTTTTCAATAATACTTTTGTTTACTATTGTTGCTAAGATTTCCACTATTATGTAAATCAAGTTACATAAGAATTCTTTTTAATTTCGATTCCAATCAATCATTGCTTAGATCAAAGTCCGACGACCTCCAATACATCAGCAATTAATCACGTGCATCGTTTGTACGAAGAAGAGAAAATAATGAGAAAAATATACATATATCTCTTTTCAGATTCCTGTACAATCATTTAGAGCGGATGGAATCATCTCCCGAAGAAAGACGTCATTTTTAAATAAAGCCATGGAAAAAAAATCTTATTTTGCACGTTCCCGGCATTCCGAGCGTCTTGACTTCCTCGGTTAATGCCTAATTACACCATTTTACAGGTATTTTGATGAGCTTCAATTTCTTTTTCTTCCGATTGCCGCGCTCTTAACGTGAGGTTAAATAGCATCGAGGAACGCAAATAAATAATAATTTTAATCGTCATCGTCGATCAATAAAATGCATCGCACATAATTGGATAAAATATAATTGAATTATTATGCATTTTTCTGCAAGGAAATTAACATTCTTTAAAAGTAAATTGATATATAAATACATTTTTTTTGCAACCAAATCCATCCATTATTTAATGGTAAGTCCTGAATCCAATCCGAAATTAATGTGAAAGATATTTTCTAAATGTATTTCTCAAAATTTTCTAATCTTTAGTTTGAAAAACTCGAGGAAGTAAACTATCTGTATATTCCATTTCCGCCCTGTTTTATCTATAGAAACATGTTAGACTGTGACCAAGCAACAACCTTCCCAATATATCCGGATACTTTTACTGTTAGATACTTATCTTAAGTATCTTTAAACGATGTCCCTGTTCAATACATTTATTTAGTATTACTTTGAAATCCAGAATTATCATTTGACTATGAGATTTTGATAATACTATTATGTCTTTGATTTTAGAAATTCTTGTTAATACAAGTGAGAATAAAGGAATGTGTATAATTGCATGTGCTCTTTTATGATGTGCCTATGAATTGCATCATGAATTCCTCGAGTATCCGCGTTCGATGCATGGACGGCGGCGAAGAAGGAGGATGCATGATTAGTTTAGAATCGCGGAAAATTCCTTTGGCTGCCATTAAGATTCATTAATTAGAATTATAATTTGAAAAGGAGGAAAGAAAGAAAAACAAAACCCGAAGAAGGATACGAATTAATTGTACAGTT